TTTTTTAATGAGAAGTCATAAGTTGTAGAACCATTTTTGAAAAGTCACACTAAGCATTTCCTTTGGGGGACTATTTTTCCTAATAAATTTGGGGAGTTAATATTAGTCATCGGATTAATTTTAAAGTAAAATTTAAAACGATTTCAACCACGAAAAGTAAAAAATATTTTTTATGTTTTCAATTTTTGTACTTTATTATATAGATAAGACATTGGCCAAAATGATCAATTTTCCAATTTTGTAGAGAAAGATAGCTTTCTGATCTATTTTTATGAATATTTTGTATTCATCTCCAATTCATTTATGTGCCAAATAAATCCTGTCGATTTTAATTGAAAAATATAGGGTTCTTTTGAAAATCTGATTCAATTAGGAGCAATGGTTAATCTAATCTAACTAGGAAACTAGAGTTTTTTTGGTGATATACATACATATAAATATACGCATACAGATACTAAGTTGTTTATGGTCATTCTTTCGCTTTCGTTTCAAAAAAGTCTTTGTTATCAACCTATCATTATAGTTTACCGTGGACTTCAACCAATTCTATTTACTCATTTACAGGGTGGAGCCAAAAATTTTTTTTAGGATAAGCTCATTAGTACGTTTAAATTTTTTTTAATTGACCGTAGAAGTTTATAAATTTAAATTTATTGAAATTATATTTAATACTTAAAAGTTTAGTAAACATAGAAGATTAAAAATTGATATGCATAACATGAACGAAAAAAAAATAGTAATTAAAACTTCTTATCAAGAATGAGTCTAATTATTGTCACTTATAATTGACCATGATATGTTTTTATTATTGAAAGAGTTACAAATCAATTATATCAATAATATTTTTTTATATATAAAATCGTGAAAACAATCTTTCATTTATGATACTATAGTTTATTACATAATGACACAAATTTTTATACAATAACGAAATAATCCTATAATTTTAAAAAAATTCAAAATAACGTCAATATGTTCAAAATATATTCAGATATGTCTAAAACGTGTCTAAAAGTTAACAATAATATTAGTTGCACCTAATTTGAGACTTAATTTGTGGAGACCCAATGGTTTGTAACCAATGTTATCAGAACCGGACTGGTCATCGAACCGGCAAGGGGACCGAGTCAATAGTTCACTAGTTCAACCGTTAGGTCAACTGGTCGGACCGGTCATATAATAAAAATATATATATAATAATTATAAAACTTAATAATTTAGCTAAAAAATATAAAATATGTATAAAATACATAAAATTTGCCATAAAATTAATGAAATTAAGTAACAAAGTGGGGGTTATTGTATTTTAAAGCAAAGTAAAGAGGTTCAAGTAAATTATAAAGAAAAAGAAAGGGTNGCAAAGTAAAGAGGTTCAAGTAAATTATAAAGAAAAAGAAAGGGTGTCATTTATAATTTATCCAATAATAAGGTTAAAAAAATCAGCTATTTACTGATTTAGGGCAAAAAAATTTATTAATGTAATTTAANTGTCATTTATAATTTATCCAAGAATAAGGTTAAAAAAAATTAGTTATTTACTGATTTAGGGCAAAAAAATTTATTTATGTAATTTAATTTTTAAATAGGCATTAAACTGTTCGATTTTTATAAAATCGGCGGTTCACGATTTTTATTAAAAATCGGCCAATTTTTTGGTTTTTAGTCGGTTTGCTTCCTTAGGCGGTTCAACTAAGGAACCGAACCAGTTAGCGTCCTGGTTCACGGTTGAACCGGTCCGACCAGCCGGTTCTGATAACACTGATCCAAATGCATATTATTTTTTGGATGAGTGGGTCCTATCAATTTTTTATAATGGAGCTTACTTATCTCACACTCATCTAAGAGATGACATACATTTAGATTACAATTTTTTTTAATTTTATTTGAGTTTTGTAGTATTTAATAATCTTATCAATTTATAATCGTTCGTGTTGAATTTGTGTCAAGTTCGTGTTAACGGATAGGAGTCGACAACATAACAACAAATATCTGTGAAATGGTGCCCAAATGAATATATAAATCTAATTATTTCGTGTGCAATCTGTGAAATTGAATTTTTAATTAATTCATTTTCAGACAGAGTTCAGCTTAAAGTGCTTTATCGGTAGAGTTCAGTAGGCACCACAACATGGGGTACTATGGGTTTGGAATGATCATGAGTTCGTGAAGGAAGAGGTGAGGGTTTTTGATTCAAATAGTTTCAATGGGATCGTTTACTCGAATGGCTGACACCTCATACCGTAGGCTAGCAATTTCCCCAACTGGTTGGGTCATTGCTATCTTCTTCTTGGATTCTATTTGAAGAAATTCGTCAAAGATTGATACTACCCATACATTTGTTCGTTCACATTACTGTGTAAAAGTGTCAAAACGAAGTCAATATTGCTTACGACAATGAACTGTGTGGCTATTATGGACCTTAGATAAATGAGAACGCTATTGTGCACCTTAGATAGAGGGAAATGTAATGCTCATCAGAAGGTAAATGGCTATATATATATACACCTTTGAGGCAGCATAGGTGGCTGTGACTGGGCAAAGTGGGTGGTCTGTTAGTTACAGAGCTGTTCTCCAAGACTTCTTGTCTGATAGTTTCTTTTATATTTGTTTTAATAGTCTCTTTTATATTTGTTTTAGGACTTCGTTAGATCTATGGACAAAAGAAAAAAAAGACAGACGTCTTCATGTGAATAAAACATAAATCCTCAAACACTGCCAGATAGAGAGATGGATTTCTTGAGTTCTGTACTATGTCTTCTGCTTACTATGATCATCTCTCTCTCTCCTCTCAGTTGTGAGAGGAAGGAAATCAAGTCCTGGAAAACTTCCACCAGGACCTGTCCGTTTCTGGTCATCGGAAATTGAAAGAACTTGGTAACAAGCCGATAAGTCTTTGGCAGAGCTTGCCAAGACATATGGCCCCATTATGACTCTAAA